TTAAACAATCTGCACTTTGATCTGAACTGATTTCCCGGTTACCTGTTAGTAAAGCGTATCCATGAGGTGAAAAGTTTTCTTCAAGTGAGCAAACCATAATTAACTAACAAAGGTGATGTTGTATCAGTATAAGGTTATTGATGTATATGTAGGTAACTTACCATTGAGTTCCCTATTTGTAAATGTGTGTCGTGGTAGCAGAAAATTGTATCTCAGATTGTTGACGAGGCCACTTGCCCTGGGCCATTTGGTGGAAAAATAAGAGCAGACAGTGAAAAAACTTTAAGGATTTTTTAGGAGAAAAACTGTCGCTTTTGTGTTAACATGAAAATGTATGTATGCGGAAAGTTACCACCATAACAATGCTATAAGTACCAGAATTTGAGCTGCTTGTATCGGCGGAGCCTTTCTAGTTGTTGTGGAAAATCCAAATATTGGGGAAACCTTATCGATTTACAATTAATTCAATTTTTTGTTTTGCGAATGAACTTATGTTACATTTTTGCGTCATATCGGTGCACGCCCTGTGCATTAAGCAGCATGCCAGATTTGAGTAAAATGTTTGAAATGTGCGTACTAACTAAGAATTGATTAATTCACAACTTGAAACTGAGATAATCCAAGGAACGCCTTAATACCAAACTATTACGAAAAAGAATTATTTGTAGTCATGTAGTTCATGGGTGATCAACTGATTGCTGGCAAGGGTCATGTGGGAACCAGACGTTTTCCAGTGTTTATCTTAGTTCAAAGTTCTTTGACAGTGTTGTGTTTTTGGAAGATTGTGTTTCTCTAGTATAATATACTTTATTTTTTATCTGCTTTTAAGGAGGAATACAAATTGTGTTATGCATGCGTACTGGAAATGTCAATGATACTCCGGGAGCAACTGGATGAAAACGAAAAAGAAAGAAACAGGGACCCCTGCGAAATCTTTGACAAAATTGAAAAGGAAGTGGCCCAAAGCGGGCGGCAGCCGGAGACCCTCGGTCAGGCGACTGATGCAACCGAAGAAACGGAAAAAGTCCATAGCGCAGACGAGAAGCCGCCTTCTCCTATTACGCCGGAAGGTGGCATTGCTGCTCCCAACCAGACTGACAACAAAGAGTTGAATGATACCAATGCGGAGCCCGCTCCAGCATCTCCTGCCAATAACAGAAAATCAAAAACCAAGCGCTTTCTGCCTCAAATCAACAACGACACCAACCAGAATCACTATCCAAACAAAGGAAACAACGAGGGGAGGAAGGCGCGCAAGCGACCTCCAATTAAAGTGTACTTAGCAGATAAGTCGTGCACACAGGTCAGGCCACTGTCCGACCATGTGGTACCCAGGGATGCACACGCAAGCTTAAACTGTGTTAGAAAACTGCCTAATATAACAGCACTTCACAATTCCACTTTCAACCCTGTCCCCATTTCCCACAGACGACATCTTCCAGAAATTAGACGGACCACACATCGCAGAAAACTGCCTTTCATCGGGTCAATCATTGAGAACCCACTAAACACGCATGACTTTGAGGAGCAAAACTATGCCCGGTTTGACAACACTGCCTATAGTCCACCCCTCCGCGAGCCTTTCGACTTGAATTGCCTACCCCGGAAGGCAGGTCAGTGGAAGGAGCAGCGAGATGAATTACTGGACAATAACCGGGAATGTGGACGTTCGACGTCTCACCTAAGTCTGCTGCCAAAACAGAAACCCATCTCTCAGATGCCCCGCCAGCTAATGCTGCATGATCAGGGATCGTTTGACTCAAACAACGGCGCTCATAGCATAATGCCACCCACACTGGTTCGGACAGAAACTGAAACCAGCTACCTAACCTCCTCGTTGGGAAACAGCCCCTCTCCCAAGTACATCCGAGACGACCAAGTAGGACTCCTGTGACTCCGCTACCTATCAGCAACGTCATACAGTGTGTTTTTAATGTCATTTAGCTCCGTCGCAACCTCTGCAAACCCGGGGTAGACAAACTGTGCGACATCATACAACAGTTATTTTGTTGACCAGTCAATGTCCACCAAGGCACCTTTCCAGTA